AAGAAGCTTGAATCAGAAAAACAAATCAAAAATAACTAAAACCAACAGAGTTTTCTATTAACAGTGTGCTGAAGTTAACCAACAGGCTGCCAAGGAATCACTTGTAAAATTCCTTTGAGCTTATCTGTCCTCAATTCTCAGAATGCATGCATACATACATACATACACACTACACCACACAGAAACTCATGGAGGAAGATGCCGTAATGGAAATCTACAGGAAGATAAGAAAAGCTCAAAATGAGTATTATGTTGTTTCTTTCTCCATCAGGGCAAGTATCAAGCAGCCTGATGCATCTCTCTTCTAGTCCAACTGGCACTACCATCCACCAAATTCAAAGGTAACACACACTGCTTTTTTCCTCACAAAGTTACAGCAACAGAGCTCAATCACATAGGAACCCAGTCACTCAGTTCAAATGTAGCCTTTGACAGTACCATCTCTTCTGGCCATGGCAAGAGCCGATTTAAGTAGGAATTCAATGTGGTGTTTATGGCAAATTTCTTTCTCACATTTCAGGTAACATACTTGAATATTTTTTAAAAGAAGATATTATGAATGATTTATCCCACTCTTGAGTACTCTAAAACCCCAATGAAAAAATGCATGTGATTTAAGTCAGAAAACATAACTTCCATCTCATTAGGTCAAGTTTGGTTATATTTTTGCTAATTATTCTGTCTCAGGAAAGAAATAAAATTAATATGTACTTGTAATAAAAAAAATGTGTGGGGGTTAGATGGCATTATGGCTATAGTACACCATATGGCCAAAAAGGACATTAAAAAAAATTCTGGAAAATAAAAACTGAGTAACTTGTTTATGAAACCAGAAACTGTGCTCTGTTGAATTTCTTAAAGTCTCTATTCTCACATGCAGATTAGGGATGGTTTTGAATGATTTCCTAGGTTGGCTGTTATCCCAGGATTAGACTAAAACTTGAAAAGCTGAAATATTTATACCTGTCAATGAGACAGTTCTTCCTTGGTTAATATCCTGGTCATTCTATGGACTATAAAGAGGTCAAAAATTACCACCCTCAGGCCAAATCCACACTGCCACCAAATGCTACATGGTCCAAGAGATAAGAACAGCTTTTATATTTTTAAAGACTTGTTTACTTTTAAAAAAAAAAGATATTCAAATACTGTAACTCATAAAGCTAAAATATTTACTATCTGACCCTTTACAGGCAAAGTTTGCTAACCTCTAACCAACAACAAAAAAATAAATAAATAAAAAGAGGGGGAGAATCCATTTTTAGGAACTTAAGTGTATTAGCATAGGTTATGATTTTTGGATGATGTATATGCTACAAAACAATAACTCAAAGAGCTTGACTTAAAAGTCTTTTTGTGTTTCAACTTCATCAAAAGAAAAACTTTTTACAAAGGGGAAATAAATCAGAAGCTCTGGAGGCAGTTCATTAGACCATCTGTAGGTTAGGATTTCTCAATTGATGTTTTAGGCCAGATAAGTTGCTGTTGGCTATCTGTACAATGTGAGCTATTTAGTAGAATCCCTAGCCTCTACCCACTAGATTCTAGGAGGTCAAAAACATACAGCTCCCAAATTATGCCAATACGAATATCTCCAGGCACTGCCAAAAGTCCTCTAGTGGCAAAATCGCCCCTGGTGGAAAACCACTGTCCACTGTTGTAGATAATTGTCCTTTTGTCTCCACTTCTAAATAGCAAAAGAAAACTATTCCCCCAAGTAGATTTTTTCCCATTTAAAAAAAAAAAAGGAAAGAAAAAAACAACATTAACAACAAACCAAATATCCTGTTAATAAAAGCATGGACAGTAAACCTGAGCATTCTCTTTTAGCTCAGTAGCTGGGCATGAGAACTAGACCAGACTTACCTAAAACGCTGAGCCTGCTGAGCTAGCGGTCCTGGATACCTTCTGTTTGGAGACTGGTACAGCTGGGAAAGGATGGCCTGATTGGTTTTTTGGCTTGGATTATTAGCAAACTTTACAGTGATTGGCTCTGTGGCACCAGGAGGTTTCTGGCCATTTAGGCCTTTGATAGCTTCTTCTGCCTCAATCCGCTTGTCAAATCGAATAAACCCTACACCCCTTGATATGCCTATGGTAGATGTGAGTAAAGATATGGGGAAGAGGGAGTGGAAGGAGAAGGGGAAGGAGAGAAGAAAGGATAAATTAATTTTTCCTTCTCAAGAACATCTTTTCACTCACATAAAGCATTTGCCACAAAATCACATCAGAAGGAATGTTTTTCCTTAGCAATTGGATGCAGAATCACAATTCCGCATTTTTTAAAAAATGCATGAAGTCACCTGAGTTATCACACGCCTTCCAATCTGAGTTATCACATGCCTTCCAATAAGCCAAGACAACGAGAAAGCACAAGTATGTCTGTCCATGTTTTCCCTCACACACTCCCTTTCTCTCTCCCATGCACTCTCCTTAATAATGTCAGCAGAAAGCATCAGTTCCATTTTTCAAATGTACTATGGGATAAATAGTTCAGAAGTAAGGGGCCCAACAGCTCCCTTTCTTATAATAAGAGCAGAACCAGGCATTTACTAAAAAATACATGCACTGTAGTAGAAAGATACACTTTAGCTCAAACGTTAAATAATATATTCAGCTTAATAATATTATGTAGGATGAAGGTCCTGGAAAAAAATTGTCCCAAGATGGTCTTCTGGTTCTCCTAAACTCCCCTGTACTTCTAATGAGCTAACTTATATTAGAAATGTAATGTTACATGGAGGAAAAGAGGAAAAGGAGGTCCCAGCTCTTAAAAATAAGTAAATAAGTAGAGATTCAAAGCATTCTGGCCTCTACTGCATTACTCTTAACTATGGAAGACCATTCCTGTTCATATTCTCCCCACTTTGAGAGACAAGAATGATAAAGCAAAGGATGGCCAAGAACATTTTCAGCTTATGAGAGATGGCAGAGGAAACCCAGCTTACTCCACATAATTACTGTGAACAGGCTAGTGGGGTGGCCATGGCTGGTCACCATGAGGTGAGTAGCAGCAGGATAATGCTTTCCTGGCAAACAAGTAGGCACTAATGGCACCAATCTGGGACCAGCAGGTAGAAAAGTACCGATGATTCAGAAACTGTATTGATGAAGAAAAGGGGAGTTACTAAGAAAATGCACTAGACCATCATCATTTAGAGGAACTTTATAAAGAAATGAAGGTCTACTTGCTTTACAGTTAATTGTGTATAAGGTCAATGGCTCAGAATTTTCTGAAGTAGATAAGGCATTTTTTTTTTCCTGGATGCACTTAATCTCAGAAAGCCCTTATCACTTTACCTTTTGTATGTAAGCTATATTCATTGCACATTATTACCACCTGATGGCTAAATAACAAAATTGCAGGTTTTCATTTTTTTCATTTCAGGTAAAGTGAGTTAGTTTTCCTTGAAAGCCATAAGTATGAAGATGAAATTACAGCAAATATATCCCTTCACTTATCTACTACCTCCTATTAAGAACTAATGACCACTAGGATTCAGCTGTTCCATTAGGAAAGCTTTAGATTTGCAATGAAATGGCCCTTACACAAGATGAGTCACCTAAACTGGTGGTCCTAAAACCTGAGAATGCATCAGAATAATCTAAGAGCAAAATGCCCATCCTCTGAGTTTTATTGGGTAGATTTTCTTTGGGGGGGGTCCAAGAATTTACAATTCTAGTAAGGTTCTAGAAGGATGCTAATGATGTAGGTATCATACCGACCCATACTTAAGAATCACTGACTAAAACACAAAGTGGTGAGCTAGGTCCACCTGTGATCCCACATGCTCAGAATGAACTATCAACTAGTTAAGAGGTGAGATGGGTTTTCTGTAACATAAATGAAGTCTACTCTCAATCTATCAACTTCTCTTTAAAATGAATTAAATAAAAAGCATGAATGATATGAACAAAATAAAAAGGGCATTTTTGTTGCTTTGAACAAATTTTATCAGGATTACTGTGTCTGGATTTCTATTTGAGCCCCCTAATAATCTATGTGATACAACAGTATGATAAAATGTGTAAGAAGGATTATGAAATAACTAATGCAGCTAAAACCATATTGCATATGCTCTTACTTAACTGAATTTTCTCATGACAGCAAAACCTACAGGCCATTCTTCCAGGCATGTATACAGTGGCAGAAATCTCTAACCACAATTCGAAGGGTGGTGCTTCCTATGAAGCCAATTACCAGCACATAAGGGCAGAACAGGCTCTCTTGATCAAATTCAAATCAACTACACTGATCTGCAAATGAAGATTACAAACTTAGCCTAATTTTTATTCTAAGGCTAATCTGCTGCTTTCTTTATTAAAAAAAATATTCACACATTGTAATATGTAAGCTCTTAATGTGGCTGCTTGTGAACACAGTACTATGGGTGTTCATTTTCCCCCATGTTATCATGATTCTCTATTTTTTAAATGTTCATAAAAAATGAGTACTGCTGTTGTAAAAATATGCCTGAATTTTTTTCTAAAAATCCATAATCAACTGTCAGCTTTCCTTTAACTAAGAAGTGCTGACAGAAGTGTTACTTTATATACAAAAGTTTCTTTAATAAACATCTTATTCTTCTCAGTTCTATTCAGTTAAAAGCTGCATTAGGCATAACATAAATTTTTAACATTCAAAAATTCTGTGCTCTTACTGCATATGCCTGTACAGCACAGCGTGGACCTGGAGAACAGCCTGAGCAGCATGGTTGCAGTGTGATCCTCCCTTGGAGGACTAGCTGTATACTGCTGCATTAAACTTTGCTCTTTACAAAAATAAGATTGTTTATTAGTATTTTATAAGGAGAATGGGGGCTTTTTCACGCAGTGGCTTGGAAATGAAGATTATGGCATCTATAAATTTATTACAAGCCATGAAACAGGCTTCAAACCCGCACCTTCAGGGTGGAAATGACTCAAGCTCACGCACTACACTCCACAATCTATTTTTGTCCATGCATATTTATGAACAATTCCAGCAGAAAATTGCATTTTCTGGCCCACATATACCTTTGATGTGTTCTAGAGGCAAGACTGCGGCATGGGAAGACAGAATATTTCACAATCTGCCAGCTAGAAAGACCAAAAGACTGTCCAGAACCACTGCGTACTCACCAGTGACCTGGTCGACAAGAATACGAGAAGTAATAATGCGTCCATATTGTGAAAACAGCTGTTCCAACTCCTTCTGGGTCATTGTTTTCGGAAGCCCGCTGACATATAAGTTTGCATCTCTGATAGAAGCTGAACTTGGGCGAGCATAAGAAACCTGGAAAAGGGGAATAAAATTCAGTATATATGCAACTCAATCACTTCCTTTCAGAAACTCAAAAACTGCCTTTAGTAACTTTTCCATAAACAGCATATAACAAACATTGATACTAATGTTTACCCGATTTGCTCACTTCTGGGGAAATTCTAGACAAATGGCAAGGGCCATTCCTCTGGGTAGAGAGGAAAGAGCATTTGCCCCAAGAGGGTTTTTAAGTTCTCAAAACAGACCAGGACCACTCATGGCAACAGGCTGTCCTCAGCGGGGCCAACCCCCCCAAAATAGAGATTTGGGGCCATCATTCAGGCTTCTAAATTCATCAGACACATTTTTATAACCTTTTTTCCAGCCTATCCTAGAAAGATAGGACACAGATGGCATGGTGGTACTACATTTTTAAATATTGACCCTTTGTCAGTAAGTGTGCCCTTTTGATTTAGGCCAAAAGAACTTACTTAAATGAGCTACACCCTCTATTCTGCATTATCTTCTTGTCTGCAAGTCTTTATAACCTGGATTTTCAGGTTCTAAGTCCTTGTATTGACTTTGCTTTCCTTGTTATGTATTCTCAAGATGCTTCCTATATTTGAACTATAGTATTTTAAATCTCAAGGATGGAAGACAAAATAGTTTGTTTACAATCTCCACTGTTGATGTCTCGCTCATCACTGTATCCTCAATGTCTAGTGAATGCCCAACACGTGATAGATACTAAATTTGATCAGTAAGCCTATCCAATACCTCCTTGATCCTGAGGGTCCACAACTGTGTCCTGGACCAGAGCATTTAAGGGGGCAGTTCATCAAGTCATCTAGATATTTTGCCTAAATCATAATCAAGAACTCCTTTTCCCATAATCTCTGGCCGCCAATATTTAGACAGCTATGAGTTTCTTGAGTTATTCCTGACCACATTCCCTTTGTTTTGACTGTAAGCTCTTCTGGATGAGCTAAGAGCAAAGAAATTTCCATAATATAATTTATATCCAACATTATTCATAAAAATGACTAGTGCATTTAACTCTGGGACTGATTTGCCAGGGTGTCATAATATGATTACATGAGTGCCCATCTTTAACCTCGTTTGTTACCCTTAAAAAGAACTTTTAGAATGACACACTCAATATTTTCTCCTTGGTTTAAATTATGCCAACAGCTATTACGTTTTTTCCCCTCCCCAGAAACAAGAAAAGCAGACCAGATTTCTACATTACTTTTAAGTTCTTGCTATCTTTCACCCCTTCCCCAAGAGTGTTTACATTTAACACTCCTATCCTATCCTACAAAAAGAAGGAATTTGAAATAGTGGTGTAGAGAGAATAAAACACTATTCACATATAACTTTTTTCTCTATGCCTAGAATAACAAAGACTGGGAACTTAAACATAAGTGCAAAATAAGAAATAGAGGACAATTTCATGTGATTTAAATGTAATCTAGTCTTGGGATTGCTGTAACTGCTAAATCAGCAGCTACTTAATTATATATGTATTCAACGATGTGACTAAATGAATATCCAAGTTCTTATCTAGACGACAATTCCCAATTTTCAAAGGAAGCTGAAAACCCCACCACTTGAGGCCCACGTCCATATCTAGGACTCCATGGCTTTATTTCTGAGGCAGGGAGCTTCTGCAAGTTATACATCAGTGCTCCAGATGGAACATGTGACTCAAGTGTTCCCCTTGTGAAGGGCCACTTCTGTGGGCTCCAGAGCAAGCATTATACATTCCCAAAGGAGACGGACTCCTGAGGCCTTGAAAGCAGGCAGCAGAGAGCGGGCAGGCAGGCAGCCTTTACATAGACGCTGAGAGCGGGCAGGCAGGCAGCCTTTACATAGATGCTGAGCACAGTGTAAGGCAGTGTAACCATGGTTAAAGACGACAGCTCTAATCAGTGTGCCTGGACTCAAAACTAGGTTCGCTTTTCATGGATTCTGTTACTCTGGGACAAATTCTTTAAGCTTATTATACCAAATAATTGCACTTTCTTTGTCTGGTTGTTAGGAATAATTAAGTGAAATAATTTCTAATACACATGAAAAGCTAAAATGTCTAAATGTCTAAAAACCTAAGTGACTGTGTTATGAGTATTATTTTACCACTATGTGCATCTGATATTTAGGAAAAGACCCAGACCATTAAAGTTTAGAGTAACCTGAGTCCATTACAGTGTTCCAGAATAATTTACTCATGCAGGGACATTCACTGCTTTGTGCATTTCAGATGAGTGTGGGTGGAGTGTTTTAAAAGTGTCCTAAAATATATTTAGAAAAAAAGGGTTTATATTTAGTGCTTATATAAAAGCTTTAAAAACATACTCAGGTCAGTTATGTTTTCCTTTTTATTTATTTTTTCTTTTCCTTTCAATATCCAGTCTGTAGTTCACACTGCTTGATTTCCAAGCACAATAAAAGGGCTCTAAGACAAACCTTCTCAAGATGGCATTTTTCAGTAACCTTGTCTAAGAGCTGTTTGCATTACCATAGGCAGGACACAGATGACTAAATTGCATCATGTAATAATGGACTTACAGGGTACGACATTTAGAAAGCATTATCAAATACAGTATTCTGAACGTGCCTGGCAACAACACTGTCAGGTAAATAGGGTTGAGATTATACATGAAGTAATTTCTGGTTAGGGAAACAGGCAAAGATAAGGTTATAAGATATGCCTAAGGTTATATAGAGCTGGTGCTCAATTCTTGATTCCCACTCTGATGTTCTTGACTCCCAATCCTTGTTTCCTCACCCAGTTCTCTCTCCATAGCACCATCATACTATGGAAACTACCTTATACATTCCCTTGTTCAAGAATTTGGAAAAGTTCAGTATATATATATATATAAAATGGTTAGTTCAAAGTTATTTTATTTCATTTATTTTCTTAAAATAACTTTTCCTCAGAGTGGTTACTTTTTTAACTGGAAAACTGCACATGATAACCTAGTTTTAGTAAGTTTTAGTTCTTAAAAATTAGCAATGCCACCCCAAAGCACTTCCAGAAGTAGAAGAAAGGGAACCTAGCTTTTCATCCCAACACGACATGTTTGCTGTTACTTGGGATGAATGCAGCTCCTTCTACCTCTGGTCTGTCGTCATCCCCCTTCCAGAAAAAGCAAACCACTTCTTCCATCTCAAAGGATTTTTAGTAGAAAATGTACTTATACCAAAGTGAGAGGGCTGCTTGCAGTGGGATAAGGATTTATACTTTGGGAATTTAAATCAGTTACCAGACCAAATTTTATATCTAGTAATTATCAGCAACCTTCTCCATTCTGGCTTTTCTGTGGATTTGGAACTTGTACAGCCACCTTGTGTTAAATTGCTCATCCAGAGAACCAGAGGGGCTATCTTCAGCTTCAAAGTGTGAAGCATGCCTGTGGGTCTTCAAGACTCAATTCCCTTGGAGAAGACCCAAGAGACGGTTTCCTTTAAGTGGCAAATTCTGCACTAGAAAGACTTCAATACAATGAGCTTCCAGCCTACACCCTACTGGGGTCTACACAGCTTCTTTCACCAAGTGCAAGCTGTTCTCCAATCTGCATTCACTGGATTAATATATGGGTTTGGATTTTAAACTTTCACTGCCATTTAAACAGGTGAATATATAATGCCTGAGGAGCAAGGTTATGAAATGTCAAAACTACTAAGTGAAGGATCTAATTTAAGAGGCAGCCAGAGAGTCTACAATTTAAATACTTAAAAATGATACAGGGAGAACAAAACTGAACACCAAATCTACTCCAAAGATAGCAATTTAAAACTGAGGTTTATTCTGCAAGTTCTCACAACCCTACAAGTGATATAATAAACTGAGACAAGCAATACTAAGATGACTTGAGGATAGAGGATTGGAGGCAATTAGAAATAAAAGGCAAATAAATATTCTCACCCATGGCTTCTTAAATTGGACTTCGCAAATGAGATTAGACTGGACAAAATAGAGATAAAAATAGATTTATCAAAGTAATTAGAGGTCTCAAAAATGAAAAATAGTTTGAAATATACTATATTGTAATTAAAAACTCATTTCTTCATCAGCACCTAAAACTAATTATACATTAAACATGCAAAGATAAATGACATATACTAAGAGTGGGCTATCAAAACACAAGTTAATCAAAATACACAAACTTTAAGGAATGAAAACATCTTATGGATAAAACTGGTACTTTTTTAAAGTTTAATATCCTAGTACAATTCTTCCAACAGAAGTCCATCTTAAACACCTTTATTCAAAACTATTTTCATTTATCTGATTCATCAGGTAGAAAGATTAGTGACAGTAGACATTAATACTAACAGATTAAAGTGATGAGGTCCAAAAATGAAGAAAGCAATACCTTCTTTTTTAAACTAAGAAGCTTTGAAAAACCACCCACTGACAAGATCACCATTGAACAACTTTTATCACTTGTCTATTACTGACCCAGGACTACAAACATTAAACCTGAAAATTAGATTCTTGCCACTTTAGACTTTTTACAAAGCTCCATTCAATCTCCCCAGCTAAGAAATAGACAAGGTCATAGCTATTTCTATTTAAACTGCAAGTTAATTGCTGTTCATATTTAAAAAATGGAGTTTTGATGGGACTATCTAAAAAAATGACACTATTACTAAATAAAAGTTAGCTCTGGCAAGCAACAGCAAAGGTCTTGCAATGGCATCATGGCCACACCGACAGCTGACTACACTGGCTCCTCCTGAAGAGCCCAAAAGTACCTTACACAGAAGGGGTGATTTCGGCTCACAATTCAGGCCACAGACCTTACAATTCACCCAAAAGGAGTGTGTGTGCTTTGATCTGCTTCCAAACGCAAAACCCTACCAGGAACAGGGTTTGAAATACACATCAAGGCATATGCATATCACAGTCCAAGACTGAGTTTTCAATAAGGAAGGGCATGCTTCACAACGGGTCGCAAATGTAAGCCCGAGCAGTAAGAAATTAGATTAGCTCCAACAAAGGTGTTAGAGCCAAAAGAGATAAT